GACACAATGATATTTTTTTTTAACAATCAACTTTTTATATATACTATCATTATTTTATTGTTTAAGCATTTATATCTTTTAAGAGTATTTATAATATTTGACCTTAATCTTTCAATAAAAAAGTTAACTTTGACCCTCTTATTAAAAGTTCTGAATCGTTATAAAGCGTTTGTTTCACAGATTAAAAATTCATTATTAGAAATAGGTTTTTCCCAAAACTAAGAATAGAAATCTTAATCCCATATATTTTCTTTAAAATATATTTGGTTAATATTTATTATATTCTCAAAATTATTTATCACCCTCTTACATTAAAAGTTCGCTGAATACAATTAAGATTCTTAATAATCATAAAAGCTGCACGAATGAAAGGACAAGAGGTACGAACTGACTCCCAACCCAACAACCAAAACCATGTTAGAAATTTCAATTTTGTCACATATAACAAAATCTCAGATTGACACAGACATAGTTGTATGTTTCAAGAGACAAGAATTGCCACTAATTTCATGAAGCTGTGGACCTAGTTTGTTTTGTTACCTATCACAGATCTGTCCTTCTAAGGCATCTTTTGCGGCCCTATGAATCTTCTAGGAAAGAATCCAAACCAATTATACTGATTTAAAAGCAGCTTATAGAAATTACAATTAGGTTCCATCAAATATATAGTTTATCATTTCTTTCTCGAAGTATTAGCATATTATCTTAATTAAAAAAATTAAAATTCGGCAGGAATTATGTATCATAAATACATTCATATTTTAACAGCCTACCTAGAAAACGAATCAGCACAAGAAACAGACAAGGTGGCATATACTTTCAAAGGGTGGATTGTATATATAACCTGAATATTTGATGTAGCAGCCCAATTGGGTGAAACAAGAAAAAGCAAATGTGCCCTAGCATTCATGACAAGTAAACATTTCATGTACAGAATAATAATAATAATAACAGCATTAAGGAATATAATGCAATGCCTTCTCCACCAACCAGAAAAACAAGTAATCTTCTAACGAAATGAAAATCTAGGCAACTGGATTTCATCCATTTGTATTGAATGTACAAGGCATCAACAGGATATTTTGCCACCAAATGAGGATATAAGCAACACTTCACCGTAATCAATTGACACGATATTTTGGTTTTCAACTCCACGATAGTACAAACACATGTGCATCGTCTCGGTAAAACTCGTTGGGAAAATATGGAAAGGTTGAAGATCTGTTTTCTCACAAATCTACCCATGTTTTTGAACAAAAGGAAACTCAGTCGATTAAGCTTGTGTCAAATCCTACTTAAGATCCCCAACATTAGCATCCAAGGTATAACAATCTTCTCCAGCGCATGGTATCCATTTCATCCCTTCCTAAAGTAACAAGGCAGTAACCTTTTCCTCAGCTTTATGAATCGAAATCAACATCCAATGAAAGGAGCAGAAATTCAATCAGTCAAATTCTTGCAGAAACATGCACGACAGAATGGAATGTGTGTCATAGCTGCAAAGCAAGGTCTGGTTGCTGTGAGTCAACTGCTACACCAGAAGAAGATTGTTTTGCTGGGGACCCAGGTGACTGGAAACCAATATTCAAGTCAGGAGGAAGTGTTTCCGGTTTCTGTCTTGGTTGACTATGAGGCCGGACAGCTTGCCAAGGCGGCTGCATTTGAAATCTTGATAGGTCGGAACCTGCTAGTTGTTGAGGGAAAACCATAGGTCGGTTTGAAAACTGTGAAGCACCAATTGCGTGATGTTGTGGTACAAGTGCCTGAAATGGAAAACAGTTCTTCTCTGACTGGAAAGGCATTCCACCAGAAGGAAACTCGCCCCTATTTCGTGAAAGATGCTGCTGGTACTCACGGGCCGGGTTGTACAATGACTCTGCAGAAATCTGACTTTTGGGTGAACTAGAATTTTCAGGTCCTTGTTTAAATCCTGCAGCTCCTACAGACATCCATGCACGGGCAGCAGCTGCTGAAGCATTGCTCAAGTCTTCTCTCCGTCCCGGTGGATTTGGAGTTATTGGTGGAGTATCGGCAGGGGAATGATTAGACGAACCAGAAGCCTGCGGCTTTTGAGCATTCTCGGATAACACCCTCATCATCTGAACTGGTGGAGTTTCAGTAGGGGGGTGATTAGATGAACTAGATCCCTGCTGCTTTTGAGCCTTCTCGGATAACATCCGCATCCTCTGAACTGATGGAGTTTCCGTAGGGGGATGATTATATGAACTAGAAGTCTGCTGCTTTTGAGCCTTTTCAGATAACATCCTCATCATCTGAACTGATGGAGTTTCGGTAGGGGGATGATTAGATGAACTAGAAGCCTGCTGCTTTTGAGCCTTTTCAGATAACATCCTCATCATCTGAACTGGGTCGCTAAGACTCTGCTCGTGCCCATGGGTAACAAAGGGAGCTGATCTGACTGTTTGAATTGATGTACTTTCAGATGGCGGAGCAGTCATCCGTCTATTGAAACTAGTATTCCTGACATTTCCATTGGGTAACTCTCCACTAACAACCCCGTTAGCATCTGGCTGCTTGAAAGGCATAGATGTTAAAATATTCATGTTACTTTGTACCATCTCTCTAGGTTTAGAAACAGCTGCAGGAGCATTACTTTTAAGTTTTGCAACTAAACTGGCATTGTTTTGATCGCTCGAGGGTAAAGAGTTCAACTCCACTTGTTTCAAACCTTTATTCTCAGACTTTCCAATGTTCCTGGTTTGGACATTTGGTTGCTGATGAATAAGATTGTTAGAAGTACTCGGTCTTAATCCAGCAGAGCCAAACAAAGATGGTTTTGCCTCTGAAGTTAGCCCACTGCCAGGGCGAATTGAAGGCTGCTTTCCCTCAAACATCGGTTCATTTACAGGACATTTCAAGGTGGATTCTACATTTTTACCATCTTTACCAACCTTTATTAATTTAGTAATAGACTGCAACGTTGTTGGCAGACTATGTTGTTTCTGGACACGGTTATCAAGCATTAATACTGGGGTTGGGAGTGGTTCATACTCTCCAACCCAACCACGACCAAATTTACAGCCAGATGGCAGTACCTGTTGAATCCTCTGAGAAGCTATTTTCCAGGCAGTAGGTCCTAGAGTTGCAGCATAACGAGCCAAACTCCTAGCATAGGAATACTCAGCCTGAAGTCCAACCTGTTGCCAAAAAAAAACATAACTAACTGCTTTTAACAAACAAAACAAAAAAAGCTAAAGTATTTCAAGGGTTAAATCTCACTCCTTATGATACATACAGTAACTAACTGCTTAACTTCACTCTCAAACGTCGTAAATATTGAATCAGATCCAGTAACCGATAGATTAGACGTATTATAAGTAGCACGGCGTTCATAATCTTGTACATATGATTTCCTTTCATAATCTTGCACAGATGATTTCCTTCCCATCTTGGAGAGAAGGCCTTTCCCTGAAACAATGTCAATAAAATAACGATCAAATGAAAAATGATCAGTTGTGTTATATTAAGATCCAACTTTGAGAGTATTCAAAAAATTTAACAGTGAAATCCACAGTATAACAGATCAAATGGGAGCTTTATCTCTTATCAGATACCTGACATAAAGTCTTCTGCTTTCTCTTGATTTGCATCGATAAAGAAAGCATTCCCCGCCACAAGGCCATCAATGTTGCCAGGCCTTTCGGAGAGGATACCTTGCATTGGATGGGAAATTGGCGGTACATCTCCAGTAGTGGCAAGAGTTGCGCCAGAGAATAAATCAGAGGCAACAGGCTCCTGTGAAGCATAACCAAGTGGCCTTTTTGCTTGATTCTTACCTAAGGAATTGGATCTTGTTTTTTGTTCAGATTTCTGCTCACTCTGAGTGCGTTCTAAGTTGATCCTTAACTTCTCAAACTTCTTTCTAGCTAGTTCTTGTATTGAACGTGCCTGTAACAAATACAGGGGTCATAAATCAAGCACAGCAAAATGGTTAGATGCCATATTTTACAAACAAAGCAAAGGAAAGTAATCATCTTCCTACCTGTTTGTGGTATATTGTGTCGGACGAATTGTATTGCATAGCATTTGAGCAAATCAAAAATACATCACTCTGCATTCAACAATTGCATTCAAAAGTCAGCAAACTAATCTGTTTTTCAATACATTACTAGGTCAGGAACACTTTGTCTAAGCAGAGTTTCAGATTGAATCAGATAATAAAGCAAATAAAGCTCGGGATTTGCTCCATCATACCCAAACCGCCTAAGACGATATATTACCATTTGTCCATCTCTAAAACGTGGTACCCTAATTTTCTCTATACTGATTGTATTTTGAATCCTGTTTTACCTAGGTTTAAGCCAAATCATACAATGAGGGTGAAATTTTAGGACTCTGCGAAAGAAAGAGCTAAACCATAATGCCACCAAATTAAGAAAACTATCATTTATGATTTATCAATGCCAAAATATATAGGTTATAATCAGACAAAAAAACCGATATTTTCTTCCACCTCAGATGTCAATGTCTTTGCCAAACACATGCATTTGGTAGAAGTAAAATTCACAGTTATAACTCAAGCAAAGCCCACAACTCACATATGTAAGAGCAGTACAAGAAGCATAGTCAACATAGAATAGAAGTATAATGATATCGCAACAAAAACAATCAAAATCACTAATAAGAAAATAATCTTGACCCGACCACTTCAACCTTGAACAGACTAAATTTTAAGTTTAACACACCTCAAATTGTTCCAATGTAGTGTAAGATCCATTTGCCAACTTATTCCTCACAGTGGCAAAATCCATGGGATTATCAATCACATCATGATAATCAGGAAGCTGCAAATAGGAAGAAAAAAAATGAATTTCCAACCCGAGTTGCATTCCAAATTTCCAATATCAAGACTAACAATTTATAGGGAAAAAAAAATCCACATGCACCTCTTCCGGATCAACTGGCTCTGCATACACACCATATGTGTCCTTCCTGCCATCATCCAAATCAAGAAGACAAACACCATAAAAACGGCATCACCATGGAATAACAAAATCATTCACCATAGCAGAAACCCAAAACCCTCCTCAAAAAGAAAAAAAGAAAAGAAAAGAGGAAACGAAACTCCTTACTTCTGAAGCTTGTCAAGGATCAATTCAAGCATCCTCTTATCCGGCAACGGAATCACAGACAGAATCTTCAAAGGGGTTCCTAACAGTGAAAACAAAACAAAAAGCAAGATGAGAAACACAACAGAGGAAGATGCAGTAACAAATAACAATACTTCACACATACAAACCTGTAACAGAGTGGAGCCCTTTGGAATCCACTTTTAAGCCCTTTACCTGTCACAACAAAAACCACACACACACCAAGAAACACACAATTAATAATGTAATCTTAAACATTAAAAAACCAAAAACTAAGATGCGATTAAGACAAGGACAGAGACAGAAAAAAGCCCAAACTACAAACAACAATAACATCAATGCCTTAGTTTAAGGTTACAGTTATAGACACATTGTCATAAATAGATATAGAGAGAGAAAATGAAAACGGGATCAAAGAAACTCTACATGTAACATGTGTGTTTGTTAGTTATACACAGTTGACCCGTTAGTTATCTCTCCCAAAATCCCGACACAGACAGAAAGAGTGAGAGAGTGAAAGAGAGAGAAAAAAAACTAGAGAGAGAAACAAGATATATATTGAATAATGGACCAATTGTTAACATTCAATCTCAGTCGCTGAGCTGGACACTCACACAAACACAAACACAGACACAAAAACACACTCTTTCTTCCCTTCCCCACCGAATCATACAAATCCAAACGCATTTTCATACCTCACCCCTTTCACCTTCTTCATCTTCGTGTTCCTCTGCAATTTCATCCGCTTCTTCAACTTCTTCTTCTTCTTCCTCTTCCCTTTCCTCTTCATATTCTTCTTCATCATCATCGTTTTTCCTTCCAAACTTTCGTTTCTCAGACTGAACCCCGCGTGCGTGTATCACACGCGGCCTACCGCGACTGGGCAATGAGTCATCTTCATCTTCATCTTCTTCCTCCTCATCTACACCCTGGTTGAGCTTCTCCACAAGCTTCAGCTTCTTCTTCTCTCTCCTTCTCTCATCTTCATCTTCCTCCTCGTCTTCCTCGTCGATGTAATCATCGTAGTCTATATTATACCTCACATTTCTCTGTCGCCGGCTCCGTCGTAAGTCCGATTGTGAAGTCACCGGAGATTGACCGGAACGGCGAGCTAGATCTGCTTTGGAAGGACGGCCTTTCTTCTTCCTCCTCACGATCTGACCCATCTGTCGTTGCTTTCTCTCTCTAAAAACCTCTCCCTTTTCTCTCTCTAAACCCTCTCTCTCTAAAACCCTGTTTGGGTTTCTCTCTCTAGCTTTGGTTTGGGTTCCATTATTTTTCGAGTGTGGTTGCTTTGGCTTTTTTCGTGAGGCTCAGTGAGCTCCGAGCCTAGATTTCTAGACACGAACCTTAGGTTCGGAACACAGGTTCAACTTTTGTGTCTCACTCTCTCATTCTTTTTTCTTTTACTTAATAGTTAATGCTCTTCTTCTTTTTGAGACTAAAATGGCTTAATAAATAATAATTATAAATAATTAATTAACATTTTAGTAAATAATTAAATTTCGCGAGTAAGTTGGGGTAAAACGGTGTCAGTTAAAGGAAAAGACGGCGTTTTGTGCTGCCCGTTGCCCAAACCCTTACGTGTCCCTATGCCCGCTACCCGTATCTTACGTCATTTTTTACTTTTCTTCATACAAAACTGGCGCATAAACCCACTTTAATTAATTTCAGTCATAAAAAAATAGATTTTTTATTTTTATTTTTGACAAAAAGAAGTATACTTAATACATAATTTCCATGTAGGAAATAAAATATTATTTGTGAATATTAAGGGAAAGTTGAGATTGAGATTCAATTAATTTGGAATTATAAAGTTAATGATATTTAATAATTTAAATGTTTTTCATTTGAATCTATTCTTTATGTGCCTTTCTTTGGATGAAAAATGTTTATGGTTTGTGATTTTGATTAATATTTTGTATTTTGCTAAATTTTCTTTAATATATAGAAAGACTGTTGAATTATTTCTTTAGCTCACCATTGTAATTCTTAATGCACAAGAATTAATGATGAATAAAAAATAAATTAAAAGAGCAATGAGAATGACGGTTATAAAAGTTGTAAAAGGAATATATATTGTTGTTGTTATATTTATGACATTTATAATTAGTTTATATATACACAAAATAAATTGTCATGTAAGCTCTAATAAAAGTAAATGTAATGACTAAGTTAAAAGGTATAAACTAGGAAATACTAAACTTAACAGTTACGCGAACAAACTCAGAATCCAAAACCTCAGAAGCTAAGCATACATATGGGTGTAACCTCAAAAGCTTCTGCTTCTAATTAATAACAACGTCTAGTTACATCAAACTATTGCTTCTAACTAAGCAGTCTCAGAAGCTTACAGCTTCTGGCTAACAACCTCATAAGCTCTACTGCTTCTGAATAACAACATCTTCTGAATATGAATTACTTCCAACATTATCCCTTAATTCATATTCAGCTAACCAAAAATCTTCAACACAAATTTCATCCCTCAAACGAATAAAGTGTTCAGTCTTGACATCCTTCGTCAGAACATCTGCAAGTTGCTTCTGATTGCTACAATGTACAATTTCTAATACTCCATTTAGAAATACATATTTCTCCTTGAAAACACATATGACGCTAATGTTTTTCTTCTCATTCGGAAGCTCAGTCATCTTCCAAGTCTTGTTTCTTTCAATAGCATCGATCTCTTCTTTCATGGCCTTCGGCCACACTTTCTTCTTGAGAGCTTCACAGGTTGACAACGCAACCATCAGTTGCTTCTTGGAGCACCAAGAAATAGGACTTTCCAGATACGAACAATAATATCCAGAAGTATTTCTTTTGTCAACTTTGTCTTCATACCAATCATAGTCTGGATAGCATATCAGCTATGCATCTGATCTAACACTAGAAGAAAATAACACTTTGTACCTCAGAGTGTCTTCAGTATCTTGCAGCTTGTCAAACTCTGCAAATCTCCTTGGTATATTTCTGACTATATGTGGCCTCTGAACTTGTTCAGAATCTCCTTCTGATTCTGGAACAATATCCCCTTCTGGACTTTCTTCAAAAGTTTGACTACCACCAGAAGCTCCACCTTTGTTAGCTTCTGGACCTCGTTCAGAACCACTACCTTCAGAAATACCATTTTCAAAAGTTGGATCATCTTCAGAAGCTCTGCCTTTAGAAGTTCCACTTTCAAAATCATGATCACCGTCAAAGGTTGGATTACCTTTAGAAGCTCCTCCTTCAGAAGGTCCACCTTCAAAGACATGATTTCCACCAGAAACATGATCATCTTCAGAAGCTTGTCCTCTAGAACCTACGTCTTCAGAGTTTTTCCTTTCTAGAAGCATGATCACCACCAGATTCAAAATTTGGATCACAATCAAATTCACCATCTGACTCATCTTTAGAGTCTCCAGAAGATTCTTCATCTTCTAACTCTAGCTCTTCTTCACAACTTTCAAGTTGACTCATCTTCGGAAGCATAATAGAATCCTCTTCAGATTCTGACTCATCTTCTGATTCTTCTCCAGACTCATAACCACCTTCAGATTCTAGCTTGTCTTCAGCTTCAGAGTCATCTTTTAAACTCTGACTCATCTTCAGAATCTTCAGCGTCATCTTCTAATTTTGACTCATATTCAAACACTCATTTAGAGTCAGAATATTCAGAGTCATCTTCTTCCCTTCAGAATCATAAAATGACAATTTCATAGGTTCCTCATCAGATTCATAAGCCATTAATAGCATAGGTTCATCATCAGAATCTCCTCTGGTTGTTTTTGCTTCTTCTTTGTTTGACCAACAATCCTTAGCAAAGTGGTCAAACCTGTTACAACAATAACATTGAACCATTCTCTTATCATACTTCTCATTTCCCTTTTGGTGTTTCTATTCATCAGAATAGAAGACTTCTGACTTCTGAGAACTACCACCATGTTGTAAGAACAAGATTTGGTTATGTAATATCATCTCTGAGTTTTGATGATAATAAATGAGTATGTTTGTATGAACAATTTTTTGTTACTCTAATGTTTGTTATTATTGAATACTTAACAAATAAGTTCTACTTCTGATGGATGGTGTGGCCAAGACATTAGAATAGAATTAGTTTCGTTTATACGTTACACAAGTTCTGTTGTACATTAGCAAGACACTCGAGAAGGCTCTGAAGTGTAAGCTTTGATACTTATCTAAAGAAACCAGTCAGATGATATGAAGACAGAAGTTGCTACTTAAGTCCATATGTTGAAGACTCATGTTTCTAAAGACAATGGGTTCTAAAGAAATAGTCAGAATATTTGAAGACAAAAGTTTCTATTCAAGTCCAGATGCTAAAGACTCGGGTTTCTAAAGACCCAAAGTTCTAAAGATAAGGGTTCTAAAGACCAAGTGCTGAAGACTCTAAAGACAGAAGTTTTAAAGATTCTAAATACTTGAAGTTCTAAAGGCTCAAGGTTCCAAGAAAAGGTTCTCACAACCAAGTGTTGAAGACTATGAAGACTTTGAAGACTTGAAGTTCTGATGACCTTGTGTTATGTTCTCGCTTCTAAACTCATGCTCGCAGAAGCTTCTAAAGTGCAGAAGGAAAGAAGATAACATTAAACATGGTACAAATAGTACATGGTACAATCAACGTTTTATTCCACTACCATGAAAGGATGGATGTGTTGCATGATCTTGTCCCCTATGTTACTGTTCAAGCTGCCAATGTTTTTGGAAATCCCAAGAGTACCCCTCAATGGATATATTATTCTATTGGCTATATAAAGGCTTGAAGGCTAAGAGAGAAAACTGCCAATCAACGAAATATCCACGCACAAAGCGTTGTTCATAGCTTTCATATTCTTAATCATTCTTAAAATAGTTTACATATTCAGCTTGTGTAGAAGCAATATTCTTGTAACAAAACTTGTATTTAAACAGTTGTTTGATTTTCCTTAAGGGACCGGGTAGGTATGTATCCTTAAGAAGTATAGAACTTGCAAGTTTTAGAGGTTGCTAGTCACTTGCGGGTACCTTATGCATTGTAATAACCAGGTTGATTATTGTTTGATATTCCTTAAGGGATCAGGTAGGTTTGTATCATTATGAAGTCTAGGACTTGCGAGTCTTAGAGGATGTTAGTCACTTGCGAATAGCTTGTGTAAATTGTAATTAGTTTGGTTATAGTGAATTAAGTCCTCGATTGAGTGAGGCGAAATAACCTTGGTGGGTGGACTAGACTAGCTTTATAACTTTCAAGTGAACTAGTATAAACATACTTTGTCATTTACTTCCTACTCTTACTTATTGTTATTATCAAGAGTGAAGGAAAAAGGATTTTAACTTAAAGGGGAATATTTTTAAAGAAAAGTTTTTGTTTTAAAAACCCAATTCACCCCCCCCCCCCCCCCCCTTTCTTGTGTTTTTCACACCTTCAATTGGCAACAGAGCTATGTTGATAATAAGGATAATGATATAGATCACTATAGTTCAAAATCTCTTATGTATGATAGGGAGAAATTTTACTATTGGAAGGATAGAATAGAAAGTTATTTTTTGGCATATGACTTGGATCTATGGGACTTGGTAGTTGATGGTTACACTCACTCAGTAGACTATAAAGGTCATAAGATTGCAAGAAGTGCAATGACAGAAGCACAAAAGAAAGTATGTAGAAATCACTACAAAGCAAGAATAATTCTTCTGAGTGTTATTTCATATAATGAATATGAGAAAATCACAGATAGAGAGACTGCAAAGTTTATCTTTGATTCTCTTCAAATGACACATGAAGGAAACACACAAGTAAAAGAAACAAAGGATCTGGCCTTAATTTAAAAATATGAAGCCTTCAAGATGGAAGACAACGAATCTGTGAAAACAATGTTTTCAAGATTTCAGACTCTTATGGCAAGACTTAAGATTCTGAATAAAGGTTAGTCCATTGTAGATCACGTTAAAAAGATTATTAGAAGTCTTCCTGTCAAATGGAGACCAATGGTAACTGCTTCAAATTGGCAAAGGATCTGAACAACACCTCTCTTGATGAGATGATTAGATCTTTAAGAAATCATGAAATAGAGCTGGAACAAGATGAACCTCATAAGAGGGTAAAACCAGTTCCTCTAAAGTCTACTTATGGAAAAACCGAGGCTTTTCAATCTAAGGAAGAATATGAAGAAGATTCAGATGATGA